ATGGAAGGGAGATAGAGAGGGAAACCATGAAAAGTGACCACAATGGTTTCTCTACAAGTAAAAGTAAACCTACAAGTTATTCCTCTACAACTTGTTCTTAGATTCACTCTTTCCTTTTCTGGTTGTGTTCTTGATAAACCATAGTGGTCAAGAGAGTAAGAGAAAGAGAGTGGGCTTGCAGGTTGCAAGAAAAGAGAGGAGAGAGAGAGAAGGAGAAGAGAGAGAGTAAGAGATAGAGAGTGGGCCTACAGGTTACAAGAAGAGAGAGGAGAGAGAGAGAAGGAGAAGAGAGAGAGATGGAAGAGAAATAGAGAGGGAAACCATGAAAAAGTGATCACAATGGTTTCTCAAGAATACAACCAGGAAAAGAAAAAGTGAACCTAAGAACAATGGTTTGATCGATTGTGAGCTCAAAAATATGAAATCCATAGAAACCCATTTCAGGTTAGAACAAGTTGTAGAGGAACAAAGTAACAATTACCTACAAAATAAAAGATGAACCCAAAAAGTCATGCCTCTGTTACGAGGGCCATAGATATGAAAAGAATAAAAACAATATAAATGTTGCTTGGTACAAAAAATTAAATTATGGAAAAAACAAAGAATAAATGGCATTGGGGTAACCTTGAGACCACAGAAAAAAACAACTGAGCCAATGGAAATTTATAACAGAATCTTCTGAAAATGTTCAAGAAAAGTATTTCAAATCTCGTTTTAGGAGAAGAAAATAACACTGTGTTCACGAAGTTTTATCAAAAATAGGAAACTATGAAACAAGAAACAGATTCTGAATCAATTTTATGAAAAATTCACAAAATTAGTTGCAGATGACAAGAATCATCTGATTCAAAAATTGATTATGTAAATATTCCTGACAAATATATCAAATATAGTTTCAGGAGAAGAAAATAACATTAAGTATTCACAGTTTTTAGCATAAATAGGAAACTATGAAACAAGAAAATGATTTTGAATCAATTTTGTGAAAAAATAACAGAATTAGTTGCGATAGAAGACACCCTGAGACCACAATGGTTTCTTAAGAACACAACCAGAGGAAGAAAAAGTGAACCTAAGAACAAGTTGCAGAGGAAATCCATAGAAACTCATTTCAGGTTTGAACAAGTTGCAGAGTAACAAAGTAACCATTACCTACAAAATAAAAGATGAACCCAAACAACCATGCCTCTGTTATGAGGGCTATAAACATGAAAAGAATAAAAAGAATACAAAAATTGCTAGTTACAAAAAATTAAAATATGTAAAAAAACAAAGAATAAATGGTCATGTGGGAAACCCTGAGACCACAAAATAAAACAACTGCGCCAAAAAAAACTTAAAACTGATTATGAAATGTTCCAGAAAAATATATCAAATCTAGTTTCTCTATCTCTTCTCTCACTCTGTCCCTCTCTCCTCTCTCCCCCTCTCTCTTCTCTCTCTCTCTCGATCTTTCATCTCTCTTTCTTCTCTCTTCCTTTCCCCCTCTCTTTCTTTCTCCCCCATTATTTTTGTCTTCTATTCCTCTCTCCCTCTTAATCTCCCTTCTCTATCTCTTCTCTCCCTCTCATCTCTCTCTTCTCTCCCTTAATTCCACTATCCATTCTTTTACTCTCCTCTCTCTTTTCTCTTAGCTCTCTTACTCCTCCCTCCCTCATTTTCTCTTTTTTCTCCCTCTTTTTCTTTCTCCCCATTATCTCTCTCCTCTACCTCTTGGTCTCCCTTACTTCCTCTCTATTTCTCTATCTTTTCTCTCACTCTCTCCCTCTCTCTCGGTCTCTCATCTCTCTTTTCTCTCTTTCTTTCTCCCCTGTTATTTCTGTCCTCTACCTCTCTCTCTCCCTCTCGATCTCCCTTAATTCATCTCTTTCTCTATCTCTTCTCTCCTTCTCATCTCTCTCTCTTCTCTCCCTTAATCCAGTCTCTTTCCCTCTTCTCTCCCTTAATCCAGTCTCTTTCTCTCTTCTCTCTTAGCTCTTTTCCTCTCTCCCTTTTCCTCTCTTTCTTCCCCCCCTCACGTTTTTTCTCCCCCCATTATCTTTCTCCTCTTCTTTCTCTCTCTCACAGGCTGCAGGCGGCCCACTCTCTTTCTCTTATTCTCGTAGCTCTCTCTTAGCTCTCTTCTCCCTCAATCTCTTACTTCCTCTCTCCCTCATTCTCTCTTCCTTTCCCCTCTTTTTCTTTTTTTCTTCCCCATTATCTCTTTCTCCTCTCCCTCTCCCCATTTCACTTCCTTCCTCCTCTATCTCCCTCTGGGCTCCCTTACTTTTTCTCTCTGTCTTTCTCTCCCCTCTCTCAATCTCTCATCTCTCTCTCTCTTTCTTTCCCCTTCACTCTCTCCTCCTATCTTCTCTCCCAACTCTTGGGCCAAGCCGCAGGCCAATATCTCTCTCTCCGCCCCATAGCCTGCGACTCTAGGCCGCAGGCCAATCTCTCTCTCATGGGAAACATTGCCATGAAAATTAGATAAAGAATTAAAAAGAGAGCCTTTGCATTCAATAGGGGATGATATAGACATGCCACCTTGAACCAATAAGACAACAATATATCTGCAATTGCAGATTTTCTTAAATACGATGTATATAATTTGGGATTGGTCAATGGAATTTGACCATTCGATGTGAAATTTGATAGTTTTGACGTGTCACGAAGTTCAAGAAAATTCTTTTAAAGTTTGATGAGCTTGATCAACGAAATAATTGCAGCCACCGGATTGACATTCAAGACAAATGTGACCATCTTGTACCAAAGGTGGTCTCATTCTATACTCCCATATAATTTTGAGTTGGAGATGGTGAAAACCAAATACGAACTCATGATCTCTATTGGGCATCTATTTTATGCTTTCAAACCATTGATAGGAGAAGAAGTCTTGTCAAAAAGAGAGAAAGAAGTTGAGAAAGAAAAAACTGGCGTCAGCCTCTCAGGATTTAATAAATGTACTAGGATTTCCTTGGTCTCATGGAAAAATCTTCACTGCGAGTTCGAAAGAGAGAGTTGATCTTGTATGGACATCAAAAAGAAGTCGTAGATTTATTCATTAATTTTTTTCCACAAGAGAAGGAAAAGTTGAAAACATTCAAAGGCTCAATGGTTCTTGTGGAGAAATATAGAGAAGGACAAATATGTTGCACAAAATATCAAGAAGGCCAGGCCCAATAGAATGAGATATTATAAAAAAAAAATCTCATTCTGTAATGCCTGATTTTATCAGAGTGAGGAAAATCGTATATGGCCAAAATCATTCTTATGACAAAGCAAGAAAGATATTGATATCAATTGAGAGGAAAATAATTAGAAATGACAAAGAAATGATTTATTCGTTGATTTTTTTCCACAAGAGAAGGAAAACTTGGAAAACATTCAAGGGACCGATTGTTCTTGTGGAGAAATATAGAAAAGGACAAATATGTTGCACAAAATGTCAAGAAGGCCAAGAGAACATAGGGTCCAATAGAACAAGACATTATAAAAAAAATCTCATTTTTTAATGCCTGATTTTATCAGAGTGTGGAAAATCGTATATGGCCAAAATCATTCATATGACAAAGCAAGGAAGACAATGATATCAATTGAGAGGAAAATAATTAGAAATGGTTTGCTCATTTACCTAGTTGGCTGTAACAGCAGCCCGTGCATTGGCCAGAAAGTTACACTCCAAAGCTTTTGAAAACCAAAAGAGAAATACAATTTGAGAGAGAGATTCAATTTTTAAGGGGAGGGGGAAGAGGGATGATTCTACAAGAAACAAATATGAACAGGTTCTTAACAGACCTTGTAACTTGGCCGAGAGATTTGAGAGAGAAGTATCATGTTATCAAAGAATTCGAGTAAAAAATAGTAATTGGTGTGTTGAAAAGGCTTCGTGAGAGAATAGGGAAAGCAGAATTTAGGTCTTCAATCTTGAGTACGTTGCCTTGTTCGGCTTCTAGATTTCCTATATCCCAATGCTTTCAGGTTATTGTTGCCATCAGTGGTTGCTGCCTTCTTCTTACCAGGAACAATTGCTCCACCTTAAAACTAGAAAGAGAGAGAGAGAGATTAGAAGGAAGCCTAAAATTGAGAGAGATTAGAAGAAGGAAGCCAACCATTGAGAGAGATTAGAAGAAGGAAGCCAACATTGGATAGATAGACAAAAAACTAAAAAACTGGAGCCCTGAAAACCATTGAAGACTGAGGAAGTACCATTTAAAACAATCAAACTCAAAAACTGAGGAAGTACCATTTCAAAGAACCATTAAGCCCTGAAAACCCTAGGCAATTGGATAGATAGACAGCAAAAACCCACTGAAGATAAGAAAACCCAGAAATTGAATATGGAAGTGTTTCTCAAGAACACAACCAGAGAAGAAAAAGTGAACCTAAGAAAAATGGTTTGATTGATTAAGAGCTCAAAAATATGAATACCACTAAATCCATTCTAGGTTAGAACAAGTTGCAGAGAAAGAAAGTAACCCTTACATACAAAATAATAGATAAAACCCTAACATCCATGAAAAGAATAAAAATAACACAAACATTGGCTTCCTACATGAAAATCATGCCTAGATTCTGTAAAAATATTGCCGAAACAAAGAACATATACCTGAGACCACAAGGTTTTTCAAAAACACAACCAGAGAAAGAAAAAGTGAACAACATAAGAACAATGGTTTGATTGATTGTGAGCTCAAACGTATGAAATCAGTAGAAACCCATTTCAGGTTAGAACAAGTTGCAGACGAACAAAGTAACCATTACCTACAAAATAAAAGATGAACCCAAATAGCCATGCCTCTGTTATGAAGGCTATAGACATGAAAAGAATAAAAAGAATACAAACGTTGCTTGCTATAAAAAATTAAACTATGGAAAAAACAGAGAATAAATGGCCATGGGGAAAAACCCCGGGACAACAAAATAAAATAACTGAGCCAATGAAAACTTAAAACTGATTCTGGAAATGTTCTTGAAAAATATATCAAATCTAGTTTCAGAAGAAAAGTGTTCACATATTTTTATCAGAAATAGGAAACTATGAAACAAAAAATCACAGAATTAGTTGCAGATGAAAAGAATCCCTAGATCATCCTCTGATTCTGGAAATGTTCCTTAAATCTAGTTTCAGGAGGAGAAAATAACACTAAGTGTGCACATCTAGTTTCAGGAGAAGAAAATAACACTAATTGTTCACAGATTTTTATCAGAAATAGGAAACTATGAAACAATTTTGTGAAAAATTCACAGAATTAGTTGCAGATGAAAGAATCCCTATATCATCCTCTAATTCAAAACTATGGGGATGAAAAAAATCAAAAGAATATAACAAATTCATTTCCAATAAAAAACCCAAACAAACTAGAGTCTAAACAAGCAGTCAGCTAAAATTTCAGAGAACTATTCACCATAAATAAAATAATATCATATAATATAAACTAAAAAACCCTAAAATTGTTTATTACCTCTAGTTTGGGGCACTTCGTTCCTAGTTGCTGCCATATCCTCTTTGCTGATTTTGCCCAAAAACAGCAGCTCCAAGACTCGAAATACCAGAAGAAAAGAAACAATGGAGGCGAATTTTCAAGTGGGGTCCAAAAAATTAGGGTTCAACCACAAGAAGAGAGCATCAGCAAACTAAGAAGGAGAGCAAGAAAAAACCAAGCTTATCTTCCTCTCCCTCTAACCATTCACTCTGCATCTTCGTCACATCTCTCTATCCTTCTGCCCCTTCTGTCTTCTTTCTCTCCTCTTCTCACTTTCTCTCTCTTCTTCTCACTTTCTCTCCCTACTCGCTCACGTTGGGTTCCAAATTGGCTTTGCTCTGGTGTGATAGATAAAAAGGTCACCCTTTCAACGGTCATCTTTGTGACTGTTGGGTTTGTTTCATCCAACGGGATGGTGGAATAAGCTAAAACCATATCAACGGTGGAAAATCATTTTAGGCTTCCTTTTTCCTTGGGGATGGAAAATAGCCCTTAGACGTGAGTTGTTAAATACGAACCTCCCAAATTCTATCTCTACGTAAGAAACTTTTATTCCTCACGCTCTCTAGGTAACTTCTTTCAAAACTCTTGGGGATGGAAAATAGCCCTTAGAAGTGAGTTTTTAAATACTAACCTCCCAAATTCTCTCTACGTAAGAGACTTTTATTCCTCACGCTCTCTAGGTCACTTCTTTCAAAACTCTCTAACATTGGTTGGCATACATAGTAATTATGCATACATTTATTAGAAAGGGACAATTTCTATGAGTCGTAGGGCTCATTGTTTGTAAAATCGCCCCATCTAACTCCTAATCGCCCAATTAGATAGGAACTAGCCAGTGGCCAATTTCGGTTTTGGGCTGTTTGGGTGATCAACTGGCATTATTTTAAAATTTCTTTTTAAAAATGTATTGTAATTCTAAAAAATAAAGAATTTGATTTGTAATGCATTTTTTAATATTCATTACATTGTGGTAAAGGTTAAAAATTATTTTGGTCATTAATATTAACTTTTATATTTTCCCATCTTTTTTAGATAATTTTAAAAATAGCATTTGAAAAATATAAAATAGGTTAAAATCCATTTTTTTCATTAATTTTCAACTTCATTTGAATGTGTTTTGTTTTAATCATTCTTTATATGCTTTGCATATTTTAGTAGATTTTTTTTTTTGTATTTTTTTATTTCTTTCAACACTTTTTTATCGATCGGGACATGCTCGATTAGAGCAGTTGAATCGGCCAGTTTACCGGTTAAACCGCTTCCAGGCCCATGTCTGGTTAACCGTTTCGGTTCGATTTTGCGAATACTGGTAGGACTCATAAATAGAAATGAGTTCCTTCGTAAAAATTTATTTTTGAGATAAATTTTAGACTTAATTTTTAAAGAATATATAATATTTAACATGAAAAATTATAATTTAATGAAAAAAAATATTTAGACCATTAGTTTTAATTTTTCTTCAAGAAACTACCAAGATGGATGATCCTTTGAGGATACATTGTAAGAATTCGTATACAACAATTTTCCATTTTAAAGATGGTGATATCTGAAACAAAATTAGATTTGAGAAAAGGAAATAAAATAGAAATATGGAAAGATGAAGTCCCTCCCATATACATATGGAAGGAGCCTATAGTGGTACTCCTGCTGGTCTACAACATACTCGTATTTCCTCGAGCATAAGACTGATTTCTTGGCTAAATTTCAAGAGAAAAAGAAAGAAGAAGAAGAGTCATCCTGTGCACTTGGATTTCACAATCAAAAGTGGACTAAGTTGAAAGCTCAAACTATATCCTAACTTTTTCTTCCTTTAAGGGTCAAACTACTTTTTTTCACTACTGTTTGGTCCTTGAAGGGCCAAAATCAATGTTTCCGAAAACCGTTTGGAAGGTGATGTCTAGGTTGATAATCCTATGACCCTTTCCAAAATCTTGAAGAAAATATGTTGAATGATACAGAAAGTGTGCCAAAAACTTTGGTAACACAGGATCAACAAGGGCCATGTCACATGCCTTCTTTTGAGGAAATAATGGTTTGTCAATGGCATAAGGATATGGTTGCCACCCAAGTTTTTGAAGACGCCCTACATATTGTGCATAGTGATAGATTGATACAAAAAAGGTTGGATGGGAAAAGGACCCGGCTCCGCAAGCAAGGGACACCCCTTCTTAGACTAGAAAGACATATTCTGCCTCAAGCAAGCGACAACCCTCCCTTTCCTAAAAAGTCCTGAGTTCTTAACAACCGTCTTGTGCATGTCATGCCTTGCCTGTCTTGCTTTAGTCAAACCTATTCTGCCTATCCGTACCTGACCTTGCTTGAGTAAGAAATAGATATGCATGTTCATGTCCATCCTTGGCTTACCTTGTTCGTCTTGCCTTCCATGCTTTTAGGTAAGTCAGTCCAACGTAGTAATCCTTTCATCAAGTGGTCTAGTTTAGTTAATAGGTTGGTTGATATCCAAATTATTGATACTAAAGGTCCATACCTAATATGAAAGGGACACGCCTAACAAGAAAGGTAAGGTTCTTTCGGGTTGGGAAAGGAATAAATCTCTCTTTCATTTATGGAAGGAGACTGGAGAAGCTATAACTGTTGACTGACGATAAGGATCTTCTGGCCTCTTTTCCTCACAAAGCTCGAGTGAAGAGGTTGCTCCCTTTTTAGGTCCTTCCGGAAGAGCTAGGGAGACTGGTTAGAGTCTTGCTCAGAAGTTATTGGAAGGGGGTATGTAACAATCCTAAACTTTCAAAAAAAAAAAAAAAAACTATTAATACATGATAATTCGTTTGAACATGATGGTCCTTAAGGACCATCATTACTTTTAAAAGCTTTTGTTTTAAAAGCTTTGTGTTTCCTGGCTCTTGCCACGTCCACTAAAGGACGTGGGCTTTAGGTGTTTAAAGCGTAAACTAACGCTCACACCTGTAACGTAATGAAAGCTTTAGGTGTTTAAAGCGTAAACTAACGCTCACACCTGTAACGTAATAAAAGAATAAAATAATATGTTAGTAGAATTTAAATTTAGAGAGGTGAAGACTCCTACATTAGAAAACTTATGAGATTTTTCTTTCTGGTCGAAACACAGTGAACTCCTTTCTCGAGGCGAATTTTTATCGGAAGCTCCCTCTCAAATATTTGTGTGTAAGTGACATCATCTTTCTGAAAAATAGTCTGTTTTTAATAAATAGTGATATTTCCGTCCAGGATCTTTATTTTATAAGTTTTGTGTGTAAGTGACCTCATTGTCTCGAAAAATAATCCATTCTTTTTAAAAAATGAAATGAAATAATTATTTCTGCTTATTATCATGATTTTTAGGCACGATAAATTTTATGTGCACGTGACCTCATTATCTTGAAAAAT